CCGCGCCAATCGAACGGGACACGTCAAACCCGGCCGCAGAGATTTCACCGACGCGACACGACGCGATGAGTCGGCTTCTTTTGCGACGCGGGTAATCGCAAAAGCCAGTTCGCGTGTCTCACCTTGAACGTCTACGAATTATATGAGGAGAAAAATATATTCAACAGAAATTGCACTGATACCGACAATCATCACTTCGAACAGCGGTGGACTTTGTCCATTTTCACATCCGGTAGTCTATAAAGTATTTTTATTCTTCGGAGATATTTAAAGTGGATATTCTGTAGTTGCTGTTTCACCCTCACAAACAATTCGATAGCTTCACATTACACGATTCGAAGACACTGATATAAAGACGAAGCTTTCTTGCGTTACGCTGAGAAAGAGTACTTAAACATTTATTTAACATTTATTTTACAGAAATACTCGAACGTTCAATAAACGCTTTCATCCGTCTCTCCATTCCCGAAATACTCGCACTCGAAGACATTTCGCGCGCGAATCTCGCGACAGTTGCGAGATCGTCGTCGCGAGATCGCTCGAGGCCGCGCGATTATGTCCCGTCACGCTGCGGTCTCTTTCTCGATTCGACTCCCCCCTTCCCCCGGGCTGCCCGCTCTTGAATCGCCCACCCACCGGCGCGAGGAATGTTTAATATCAGATTTCATGCGGGACCACGCGTCGAGGGTCGTCCCGCCTGCCCAGGTGAGCGACGCGCTCAGAGCGAGCCACGTGGAGGCCGATATCAAACGCGACGGCGGCTTTGTTTCCGCGCGCGCGCGACGTAAACCCCGCTGAGGATTCCGCACGCGGAAAAGTTGCGAGCCTGTCACCGCGATCTCTCCCCTTTCTCTCGCAGCAGCAGGGACCTCTTATTATCTCCAGTCGTCGGTGTTCCTCTCGCTCCTGCGGGCGGTTACGCTCGCCAAAGGGGCACAAAGCGCGGCGTCGGGATTGCGTCCGAAGAAATTTATATTCCCGTGTGCGAGCGAGCGCACACGCTGGATATATTCCAGGACGACTCTCGCGGAAAATCCGGCGGCGTCTTCCCCGCGAAAGCCGACCCCGAGGTTTCCCTTCTCGAGAGATCTTCTTCTCCCCTTCTCTCACTGTCTGTCTCTCTCTCTCTCTCTCTCTCTCTTTCTCGCTATCTGTCCTCCGTCTCCCGCGAAAATAAGCAGACGCATTTACGGGCGCGTGCGTGGCGTTTTTCTTAAATTAGAATCCACGAGGCGGTTCCCGCGGCGGAACGCGCCTTTGTGGATTACCGGGAGTGTGTTTCAAAACAGTGTTTGAGCGGCGCCCCAGCTCTGTCGCCGAAATTACGATTACGGGGAGTCTCACAACGGGGAGGCCCTGAATATCTCTCCGGCAGAGATATTTAGGTTTTAATCCCGACGTATCAGCTTTCAATTTCAGCAATTATGTAGCACGTGATATCGGCGAGATTATAATGACAAAATGACGAAATTAATTTGAACCGTTATAAATTACGGTAGAATTTTACTTTTTAATTAATTCCGGGAGTAAACTTTAATGGAATTTCACTCGCTCAATTACCCGGATAACCGGCGTGGAAAGACAAAAGAGAAAGAGAGAGATGGGAGGAAAAAGAGAGGGAGAAAGAGAGATGCGGCACGCAATAATGACCGTCTGTCGAATTTTTAATAAGAAAAACACGTTCCCTCCGAGTGACGCAAAATCAATATACAAATTAATTATTCGACGAAATAAATATCGCCGTGGGTAGGAGCTTTTTTTCGCGATCGGCCGCGTGTAATCCGTTCGGGAACTATACGCTGAATTAATTGTTACTTCGTTATCAGAGTGAAAAATACACCAACAGTGCGCATATAGCGCGACATATACACGGCGACATTTATTTGATATCTGCAATGGCACGGGCTCTCGCCTCTCCCCCTCCCCCACCGAGACCACTAAACTGCCGACATTTACGAGATGGCCGTGCGTTCATTTGATTTGCTAATATGCAAAACGTCGACGTAAAAATACACACCGGTGTAATTTAATCGCGATGACGCGTTCAACATTAATTACCGCGACTCTATCGCGCTTCGATACGCGCGTTAATTCGTAACGGGCGCGCGTCGCCTGGCAATTTTACAATTTTACTAGAATACGAGAACGTAAGAAAGAGAAGGAGAAAGAGAGAGATACGAGGGGGGGTGGAAGTTAGAAGGATAACACGCGGCCAATCTTGCAGAAATTGCATCAAAACGAAGTTATTTTGCCGCGCGTAAAACGACGAAACGGAGTTTTCGTAGTGCGCGCTGCCGCGCCGGGGAGGAAAAAAGAAATTCGCGCAAGAACGTGCTGGAAAATTCCGCACGCGAATGCGGCACAAAAAGGCGTACAGCGGGCCGCGGGGGCGGCGGAAAACTCGGTAGCCGCCGTGCTACAGCCGTGAATCCGTGCACGTTTCTCCCGTGTGCGTGATTCTTTTTCGTTTCTTTATACACACACATATATATATGTTATTTCTTGTCCCGCTGTCCGGGCGACTGCCGAGGTAAAACGTAACGACAGAAATGGGTGACACCGAATTTGCCGAAGTGGAAGGCGCGCGAGAGCAACGACGACGGCGACCGTGACGAAAATGCGATTTAAAATCTCGCGAGGAAAAAAATCGTCCGTTTATCCGTTTGTCCCGCGCGGAGAAGTAATAATTCCCCAAATCTGCCATCATTTCCTAACACAAGAAGCGAACTAGAAGAGATTATTCCCCCTCTCTCTCTCTCTCTCTCTCTCTCTCTGTGTTCGCGAAAGTCCGAGCGTTGATTTCGTAAAATGAAAAACCTGGACGAGCAAAACACGCGAATAATAAAATAAAATAGAATAAAATCTGGCGAAAAAAACGCGTGCGCGCCGGCGATGCACTTTTCGCATGAAAGCTAATCCTTATCGGTTAATGCATTTCCCCGTAATTATTTATAACAAGATGAAACGCAATCCCCTTGCTGCTGCGACGGGAGCGGAGACAGAGGGGGGGTGGGAGGGAAGGGAGAGAGAAAGAGCGGCCGGACGGCGCATGGGAGACCGGTGAAAAGCGTATCGTATCGTTTTTCGTTAAAGCGCATTATTAAACACCGCGAGAATGACGCGTATAATTACGCTGCCGAAAGAACAAACAACGGGAGTTTAATTACGCAATTTTTGCGTATAAAACAGCCCATCGACAAAAGCGTAATATAATACGTTTACACGACGTGAAAGCTCCGCCGGTCGCTCTTTCATGCGATATCGCGCCGATAATAAATGGGGAACGTTATCTCGCGCGTTTACGAGAAAGCGAGAGAATGAGAGAGAAGGAGAGAGAGGGGAGTGAACACATACGCATACACACAACCCCCTCGGCGCGTAACGAACTTCGCGTATCCTCGCAACATCCTTAGTGAAGTCGTACGTCAAAGCGCATATAGGTTAATTACGCGCTCCACATATGCTCTCACGCGTCTATCTCGCGCGTACATGTTTTGTAATCCTCGTCCTCCTCAAAGGCAGATCTTCGCGTGTACCTTATGCACGATTAGCTTAATCCCCGCGCTAGACGCGCCCCCGCGCTCCCGCCTTGAGAGGAGCTTCGCTCCTGCCTCGTTCGTGTCGCTCTGCGTGTGCGCACACTCGGGGAGAATTAACAACGCGAATGATAAACACGGAGGAACGAGAAGCGCACGGAGAGTCTTCTAATAATAAACTGTGTGAAGGGGCACCGTGCACGCGGTAGAGAAACGCGCTCCTCCCGGCCCAGGGAAACGAATCGAACTCGACCGCGAGCGACACAACCCGATATAACGCGCGGCAATGTTATACCGGCGGCCATAATGTGTAATGATATAACGGGGATAATAGCGTCGGATATAATATTATAATGATAACAATTATTAATTGCAAACATAATGCCGCGGTAATCATGAACGGTATTATGATACCGTCGCAGTGCGTCAAATTTCATCGCGCGTTGCACCGAATGGCCCACCGTAGTTTGCACGGAAAAAAGAACGATTTGGTTGAATTTACCTGAAACGGGCAAACCGAACCTCGCGTTTTGGTTGAAACAAACAGAATTTCTGATCAGAGGGGATGGGTATTATGGAATATCCTAAGATTTCTTAAGATAAATCGGGAACTAAGGATTATTGAAGTTTGTTTTTATTGGGATGTAATGCCAGGTGTTTTTTTTATAATGCCTTCTCTAATGATTTCTATGGTAACTTTAATGTTATATTAATTTTTTTTGAAAATAAATTTTAGAAGAATATTATGAAATAGCTTGGATAAACGGAATAATTCATTTACCATGCAAAAAAAATAATTTTTCTCGTATTTCGATGAATATTAATGATCGAATGGTCTATGTAATAATTATTATATTATAATCTCTCAATTATAAATTTATATCTTAATAATCTCTCAGTTATAAATTTATATTTTTAAACTTTCTATTATAATAATGTTATAATATCATATAAATGTATGTAACATCAGTAGTAACATCATATTAGTTTCCAACCCATTATTTACGTTTTTTAACGACGTCACCTATATGCTTCTTTAGCATACTGAAAGGAAAAACAGTAATGTGCAATATTTATAAAAAGTGATGGATATTAACAGGATAGAAATCATGGTATTCCATATTATCCGACTATTTCCACGTTACTCGCATTTCCTCTAAAAACCAAATTTGATCGATAAGAATCAGAAATTCTGTTTCCTTCAACCAAAACGCATGGTTTGGTTTGCCCGTTTCAGGTAAATTCAACCGAACAGTTTTTTTGTGTGGTTGAGTTTTTGCAAAAATACGCGCGTCGAAAAAACATGCAGACGCGAATTTCGGATTATCCAGGGATTTGGTAGATTCGGGAAAATAAAAAAAAAAGTTTAAATAATAGAGGAGTACGAGAGTGGTATTTTTTAGCTCTCGACGCTACGACGATGAGTTAATAATTTGTCTTTTCCCTCTCTGTTTCTCCGTCTAGACGTAGCACATGGCAACTTCACGCCCGAGGAAGCACCGACAACCGAATCGCCGATCCAAAGCGACGTCTTCGTCGAGAAGAACGGCGCCGCCGAGGGGGAGCTTCCGGTCTCAACGGCGAAGCACGACGACCCCACGTATATGGCGGTCGTGATCGGCGTACTGACCGCCGTGATACTTCTGTTGGCCGTGGCGATATTTCTGATTGTTTCACGGCACCGGCAACGCAAGTGTTTCGCCAGCCCGATGACCGGCAAAGCCCCGTCTCACTTGGGCTCCACCTGCGCCACCGTCGAGAAAGGCGCCGCGCTGATGGCATACACGTTGGAGGACGATGAGAGGTAAAGGGATTATTACTGATTACTCCGGTAACGAGTAGAGGAAAAGACGCCATATCAGCGCCATTGAGTAACGGCAGGTTATTAAATGATTTCATAATTAATCGTTAAAATTCGTCACTTAATAACGGAGATATTAAAGGCGGACATAATATCACCTTCTCTTCTAACGCAAAAAAAAGAAACGAAAGAGAGAAAGAAACAGAGAAAGGATGAGAGCGCGGCAGCGTAAATCGCGTCTTTGAAGCGCCTCGTTAAAAATTCGCGCGCACTTTCGCGCAAATCCATGCGGTAGAATCAATCCCGTCATGATTTATTTAGACGAGAGTCTGAATCTCCGCTTCGAAAGAAGCGGAAAAAAGTAGAGAACGAAATCAGAAACTGTCTCCGGACAATCCTCGACCGGCGTTATCAACCGCGCAATTTCTCAATTTGCATTTCTCATTTAGCACGGCTAATTTGACAATAATTAATACATTAGCCATCGACGGTAATAAATCGGGCCAACTTTGGACAGCCGTTACTATCGGCGTCTCTCCCCTCGCTCGCTCTCGTTCGCTCGTTACACAACCACGGAACGTCTAGACGAACGGACGTACAGAGAAGTTGACGAACACGCGGCCGCTTTTGCATCGCGAAACGCGATGCTTAACGATAACACACGAGTAACAAACTGCACCGTCGTGGCAGCGGAGGATCGTCGTGCTCCTCGTTTCTTCTCGGAGTTTGTGTCCGCACAGGACACGGCACGGATGACGGAAACGGGCCTTCCAATAAACTTTCCATCCACCGTGCTCGTTAGCGAACGTCCAATAACGTCCAATAACGGACATCCTCGGGCAATATATCGAGTTTGTGCGGCACACGAATGTCTCCAGAGGAGAGATCCTCCGGCCGCCTCGGTAACTTGGAAACATCCCGGCCGCGCGAGCGAGCTTCGGCATCGATCCCCCGGAGCTCCCTCGGCCGCTTTGTGCAACCCGATATTGCAGCTGCGAGCTTCCTACCAAAAGAGGACGTGTAACGTGCAACTTGAAGTAGTCGCGCTCTCGTGAACGTGTAAACGCCAGCTTTGCGCGAGCCGGCCTTTGACGGACACCCCGCGCACAAAATTCGCGAGCAGAAAATATGTTGTCTCGAAAACAGCCGGGACGCATCGGGGATAGAGACGCACGTGCGCGCACGCCGGCTCCGGGTTACGTCGCGCTGCCGATTCCTCCTGCGACGAGCGCGACGTGGGCCGTACTTCGCGTCAGAAAGAGACCCGAGCTTCTCGGAATTTCTCCTCGGAATTATTTCGTTTCTCCTCCAAATGTATATCCCTGAAATGTCCGCGTCTTATGAATCAGCGGGACAAAGTGAGCAGAAGTAATTCTAACTAATATTTTTATTTGTTCATTTGTCATTAAAAAGTTACCGAAAAAAAATTTATTCTGTTGGTTTTCTTTTATGATGTTTCGCTAAAGAAAAATTAAGTTAATGGGGCAACATATATATGTACATATAGCAACGAGACTCCATATAACAGTAAGGTAGGAATTTGTTGTTAATTAGTTGCTCACAAAATATATTAGTCCCGATTTTATCGCTCGCGAAATAAGTTTAAGCAATACCGGAAAACCTATCAGCGTGCTAAATCATCATGAAACGGTTGCTCGCTTAAATTTTCGTTTTTAGTGTTGTTTGAATTTGTTACTCTCGAAATATCCAAGTTCCGAATTTGTTGCTCGCGAAATAAACTCACACAACAGCGGATCAGGTTTCGGCGTGTAAAGGTTCTCCGCTTACATGCATACACGGAGAGAAATAATTTGTCAGCAGAGCAAAAATTTTATACTATCGCAGCGAAATCTATCAGTTACTATATGGACAGCAAAACGATTTGTTAAGAATACTAATTGCCATTCGCTGGATTATTTTGCTGAATCTACAAATTATTTTACTGTGAGAACAAATTAGTAAATTGTAGAAAAGTACTATTTTGTTCTAACGGCAAATTAACGTGTCCTAAGGATAAATTCATTCAGCGGAATTTTTCTATTCTGGCAACAAAACTGTTCCCATTTTAATTACGAATAACTTGCTGATTTAGTTATGCCAATTAAATTTTACCGCTGTCGTAATAACGAATATGTAGTAGCAACGAAGGTTTCGCTACAACAGCAAAATTATTTTTCTCCGTGTAATGCTATTATATACCATTTTTGTGGTTAAAATTGTAAAAAAGGATATAGTTGAGGCCAAAAATAACTATAATCCCTCAATGTAGAGTGAATTCTCGAGTCAAGCGGTTATTTTCTTTGAAAATTAACGGAAAAATCGGAAAAAATTTCCCTTCAAATAAAATCCGATGTACTTGACCATCCCGCAGGAACTAATTCACTCTAATCGACTGAAACAGTGGCGCGTGAAGATTCAAAATCCACTCTAAGTCTGAGTGAAACTTTCACTCTTGCTATTCCGAGTGGCGGTATTTTCACTCTCGCTTCGGGCGAATTTTCACTCATTTTCGATGTAATTGCACTCCAAGAAATTTTAAGAGAGTTTCGCTAGAAGAATGGAGCTAGACGAGTTTAATCACGCTTATAGCCTCTCGCTCTTCGACGAGATTCTCGAGCGTGAAGATGACAAGGAGACGAGACGGGACGGAAAATCTCGACCTGCGAGTTGACCGTCAGCCCCGTTTGCTTCCAGATACGCGGGCGGTTCGTTACCGACTCTGCCGCTCGACCTCGGCAATCGTCTCCTGGACATCGTGAAGCTGGACGACTACCAGGAGCCGTACCAGGCGCTGAAGTACGCGCCCTACTACAGCTACAGCACCGTCGTTATGGAGATGAAAGACATGATGCTGAACAACAAGGGCACCAACATCAATCACTCAGGTATGCGACGCTCCCACACATCTACGCGCATCCGCCTGCATCCACAACTCTCGCGACTACGCACGCACTTACGCAGGAACTCGCACACTCTCTCCCTCTCTCACACACACATACGTATACGCATATAAATGCGTAAACATACACACAACCACAAGGACACGTAGAACCGCGACGGCTTCTGTGCACCCACATACGTCCCGGCAACAAAGCATTCGGCCTGACCGCAATCAATACGCCATCCCCTTCTGCGCTCGCTCCTCCTTTGCTATATCATCCGCAGCGGTGTACGCGAACGGTGCAGTTGACACGTCGTACGATTATGCGGTACCGGAACTCGGCACAGTGCCCCTGCTCAATCAGGACGCCGGCGTCGGCCGCGGGGCGACCGTCTCCAACGCCAGCGGCGACCAGGACAGCCTCTTCTCCAAGAGCTCGCGCGGCACGAAGACCGAGGACAAGAAGGTGAGAGAGAAACACTTGCGCTCATACACCCCCGTTGGCTGTCGCTCTCTCTCTCTTTCTCTCTCCCTCGGAGGAATTCCCGACCCCTTTCGCTATTCGATCTCGCATTGTGATTGACGTCGCGGTCCTAGCGTTATAAACCATACCACCATACCACTTTTGGTAAACCTTATATATCAGTTGTACACGGAGGAAAATAATTTTGCTGTTTTAGCGAAATCATCGCTGCTACTGCATATTCGTCGCGACAGCAATCAAATTTCATTATTAAACATAACCAAATTAGCAGGTTGTTCGTAATTAGAGCGGAAACAATTTCGTTGCCAGGATTGAAAAGATTCTGTCGATTGAATTTATATTTAGGACACGTTAATTCGTCGTTAGAACAAAACAATGCTTTTCTAACAATTTACTAATGTATTCTTACGGCAAAATAATTTATATTATAAATTCAGCAAAATAATTCAGCTGATAGCAGTTGGTATTTTTAACAAATCGTTTTTCTGTTCATGTAGTAACTGGCAAATTTTGCTGCGACGGTATAAAATTTCCTGTGTCAGCAAATTACGTTTTTCCGTGTAGTAGCGTTCATTATAAAAACGAGCGCTTTCTGACTGTAATTATAATATTTAACCGTGTGCAAGTGTAATCGCTAAAACCGAATATTTTTTTCCTCAGCGACAGAACGGGATAAAATACTTTATTAAACTCCGATATCGTTGGGGAATCACGAGAGCAAGTTAACCGGAGGAAAGGGTTAAATTTATAGATTGAAATAATAAATAACGGGCGGATCGCGCGAGGACAGACCTCGTATTCGAATGAATCATTTGTCTATTAACTATAAACGACGAGTGGCGAGGGAATCAGACACCTCGAATTTTTCATTATTTATAATTCTCCGGTTCATTTGATATACGTGCAATATCGCGAGAACCGTCAGAACCCTAAATTAATCGCGAGGCCAAAAGAAAAAGCGACGACGTTAAAGTTCACGGGTCGGTTAATCCTGGCGCGTGCACTGTATAAATAAAGAGGGTTGCCCGAGGAAGAGGGAAAGAAAAAAAAACGCAGAGAGAGAGAGAGAGAGAAAAGAAAAACAGCGTACGTCGGAGTCGCGCGGTCGCTATTAAGCTCCGTGCGCCCGCGCTCGGCGGGGGATAAATTCACAATTAATAATTTAAATCAATACGGTGGAACGAGTGCGGAACATTTGGGGCGGATATACCTCCCGTGGGTACAGTATACCGTAGCTCGTATCCAGAATGCCAGAACAGCGCGCGAGGGCGAGAAAGAGCGCGGATACCCCTCCGAGCCGACATCGAATGCGCGAGACGATCCCCTGGGTTCTCCATCGGCATAAAAAGAATCACGGGATCGCGGCCGTAGGTCAATCTAAAAGCGCGTGTTGCGTGTGTATGTGTGTGCCTGTGATTATATGTGTGAGACCGGCACTGACAAGCGCTTTTTTCGCCGTCGGCCGATACGATCGGTTTAGAGGCCGACGGCGGATGCCTCGTTGGCTATACAACGAGATCCCCCGCCGGAATGCATAAAGTCCCGCGCGAGTTTACTTTCCATATACAGAAATAATAGGCGGTAAAAATATCGCGGTGAAATATCGCGTGCGATCCCCGTTGGATTATGGATTGTTTCGATCTAATATCGAATCTAATCAAGAAGGCCGTCTCATATCTCGTCATCTACATTGAGAAAGAAAAGTGATTACTTTCATTATAGATTATAACCACATTTTCCCCGCCTAACTATATCTTTGTTTCTTTTTCTAACAAGAAAATAGTAAGAAATAAATAAAATAAATAGTAATAAAAAACAACAACACGCGCCGGAAACAATTAACGGGGACGATCTGCGCGAGGATCGGTGGCTCACGAGATATCATCCCCCTGACAGGCGCGACACGACCTCGCAAAAGGATAATTGACGCGAACCACCCGTCCGCACAGACCTCGTTGCAAAAACGAGCGGCGGCGTGTCGCGCCGCTCTCTTGCTTAGACGATAAATCGCCATCGGAGCTCGTCCCACGCGAGAGGCCGGAAATAAAGCCGGAGGCTGCGGCTCGTGGTGGTAGTCGGCGCGCGACTCCCCGTGCACGGTGTTGTTGTCGCGAGCGAACCCGCGCGGAACGCCTCGTTCGTTTGTTCCCTCGTTCATTCGTTCGAACGATCGATCGATCGGCCGATCGATCCTCATCCTCGTCCATCTGTCCTGCGCCTGTGAACGAACTCCCGCCGACAGGACACGTCGGCGGGAGCCCTCGGCGCGGGTTACGGCGCGCCACCCTCGTGGAATGTATCATCATTACGCGGTCCGGCGGCTTCCGCGGACCAGTTCGCTCCGTTAATTGCGACGAGAAAGCGCCTCGTGTAATCACGTTCCCGACCGGCCCGCGAGTCCGGTCGCCGCGAGCAAGCGAGTGAACGAGCGAGTGGCGGGCCGACATCCGAAAATATTACGCGATAGAGGTCGATTTCACCGCCAAGCATGTCCTCTATATATGTGTGTGTGTGTGTGTACATATATATATATATATATATTTCCTGAGGGGAAGCGGGGGAGGGCAGAGGCGCCACGCGTCGCCCTGTGTGTCGCGGCGTTCCGCCGTGCGCGAGAACGTACGACCTGGCGAAATTTCATGACGCGGGTAATTTCTTTTTTTAAGAGCCGCGTGACGTGTCAGGTCGCGTCGCGTCGACGTGACCCCGAGCGAGCAAGCGAGCGAGCGAGCTTTGCGGCCCCGACAACGTCCGCAGGCGTCGCCGTTTTACCACGGCGGCAAGATGACATCGCGAGCGTTACAGACGGATGAATTATTTTCGCCGGAAGTAAATAGCGCTGATCTTGGATTACATCGGATTATACACGCGTGTTTTACGCGGATGTATGCTTGTGTGTGTGTGTATGCGTGTACACACGCAACATCACCGCGGCTATCTGGCCTGTCCATCGGCGCGTATTTTCGCGGAAAACCTTCACAGTTAAACACGTATCTCCTCTCTCTCTCTCTCTTTCTCTCGCGTATCTCTCGCCGATGGCAAAACACAACGCGGGCGTTGAAAACTCGCGGGCGACTTTTATTGCGGGTTTTGCGAACGCGACCTGTCTCGCTCGTTAGTCACACAACAGCGAGCGATTCAGACGTGGCCTTTCATTCCCTCTTTCTCCCGTCGATTTTCCCCCTCTCCATCTCTCCCTCTCTATTTTCCCTTTTTTCTTTGTTTCACAATACCCGCAGTCGCAGATTGAGATTTCAGCGCGGCTACGTCGGCGAACGTAAGGGAGGGACACGCTTGATAAGAGCGGCCGCTCTCCTCGCCCCGTCCCGCACGATCGATTCCCTCCCCCGAAGCCATGAATGCGAGCAGCTTCTTCACCGTCGAGTGAGTCCTTTCTCCGCGGGCCGGGGGATACACGTGTGTCCCGCGGATAGACACATCTGGTGTGTGCGTTTTGCGTACGATTTCCGCACGGCGTGGAGTCGAGATTGATCGCAGCACAATGTGAACGCGAACGGGACGCTCCGGATTCGAAAGTGCCCGTCTCTACGTCGAGACGTCTGCGCGTGATTGACATCCGACAGCGCCACTCGAAACAGTCAAAACATTTCACCCCCGTGTCGCGCGTGTCGGATCTGGCCTTGACGCTTCGCAGCGACGCCAATCATCATCCTTCCTCTGCGCGGATTCGCCGGCACCCGGAAAACGAGGAGGAGGATCGCGCGGATGGATACTCGTGTACGCGTGTCCTCCGTGTGCATCCCTCCTTTCGCGCTTTCCTCGATGCTTCGGCCCATCAATAATAAATATTCTCATACACAAGCAAAAATATTATAATCCCCTCAGAAGATTTTCAGTCTTGATTTGATTGAATTCGTATCTTTATGTATTTGCAATCAATTCAAGGCTAAAAATCTCCCGGGAATATTCCAATATTCTTGCTTGCGCATGAAAATATCGTCGATTTAAGAGTACATTTTTTCTGTGCATAATTTTAGCGAGACGAACTATTTGCGAATCCCGTCATATCTCCCAAAGACCCGCGCGAATAACCACGGCGATTCATCGGCACTTCTCACCCCGTCATAGCCTCTCGCGGAAACGTGATTGCACCGTAACGTCGTTTCCGCCTTGAAGAATTCTGCCGCGAAGAGCGCGACACGCTGCGCGACCCTTTTCCATTATCTCACCGAGATACCGATCTACGATCACCGGCGGGAAGGAAGGTATATCTCTCGACGAGAATAGCGCGATACATCTTATCTACCATCCCGCTCTCAGTCTGTCGGCCTTTGAGAATCGAAACGGGACATTCACGAGCGAGACTTGTCTTGCCGTGCGGCCTCCCCTCGCGCTCGGGAATTCGCGAGAAGGATCGAGGATGAGCAGGCAGCCAGCCAGCCAGTTGTCGGCCGGACGACGCCGCGGTGGTAGATCCCGCGAGATACCCCGCGCAACTTAGCGTGATCGTAGATCGTCGATTATCGTCGGGGCCGCACAATGCATTTGCGCTTTCGTGTGTTGCAGTCGCCGACTCAACAGGAGGTACTCTCGGCCCTGAAGAGACGTCTGGAGCAGACCAGCGTACCGCTCTTCCCACGGCATCGCCTCCGCATGCTCTCCAAGCTCGCCGAAGGGGCGTTCGGCACGGTAATGACACTGTTATTGTTACGTCCGTGAAACGTGAACGTGCGTGCGTGTGTGCGTGACTTCCTCTCTCTCTCTCCCCCTCTGCGTGCGTGTCTATATATTTTCAATTAGACGCGCCGAGCAGGCTCCGGCGGCGTTACCGCTAATCGATCGCAGTTAGCGTCAACGATATTTCAGCTGCGCGAACCGCGCCGGGAATAACCTCCGCGCGCCGATCAACTCGCGCCGCGAGTTATTATTAATATTGCCGCTTAAATCGCTCGAAGATTCGCTCCGGAAAGGTCGGAAAAGCGCGCTCTCCTCGTGAGAGCGAAATTTGGATTCTCTGAAACCAAATCTTCTACGTTTTCAATTTTGATGTTATACTTTCAATGAAGTTTTACAGCTTAAAACAGAAATGTACGTCGCCGTTTGCCCTCTATTAATTTCAATATCATTGAATCAAGAAAATTTGCTCCGATGACGACACTGTTGATCATTTCTATCGATATCATTCTATTGATATTCTTTCCCATGTACGGCGGTCATCAAGGTGTTAAAGAACACCACGTCACAGCTTAAGACACCGTGTCGAGATACGCGCGCACGTTTAGTCGGCGACATCAAAGCTTGCGCGGGACGCGACACGACGTTAACAGGGAAATTCGGTTACACTCATCGTTATAACAATTAATTTGTCAATAGCGCACGGTGCGCGATCGCGCGTCTGCACGCTCGCGAGGTCGTGCCCCGCTCGTCCGAATAGGCGCGCGCGCGCGCGCGGCCTCGTTTCCTCTGCTGCGTCGGGAGGACGATCTCGCGAAATCAATCCGTTTGTTGGCCGCACAGCGCGCGCACCGGCAATTCAGCGTACGCCGGATGCGCAACAATACGTCGATTAACGAAGTGCCCGGGGCGCGTTATTCTTCGGCGGCACAATGGCGCCTCGTCGGGGTCGTCGAGGATAATCAGTTTAGGATGCGTTAGAGCGGCTAATAATTCCCCTTTGTTTCCCGTCCGTCCTGTGCGCCACGACAGCGGCGCATCGTTAATGACAACGACGCCCGGCATCGCCGGAACGTACGTACGAATACATACGTATGTTCGTTCGTTTCGCTCGCTTGTCGCCACGTCGGCTATCGCCCGAGAGATTGCATCCCGCATGCACACGCACACCCGTGACTTCCCACGAACCCCCGCGATCGCACACGTCGATCTTCGGCCGACGTGCGAAAAATCGTACGCCTCCTCCCCGCGACGTGCGGAAAGGAAAAAAGGAGACGCCGGCCGAGGTAGTTGGTCCGTCAAACCACCCAAGTCGAAATTCTTGTCTTGAAATCTTATTTAGTTCCAGCAACTGGGGAAATTATTATCGTTCTTACAACCAAAAATTTGTTTGCCTATAGTCAAACAAGAATTTTATTGACTCAACTCTAAATGAGTTTCTCAGTGTACCGGTGGTCGCGCGATGCGTACGACGACGATCGGTTATTCTTTCCGAGCTTGCACCCGGGAGCTCACGCACCGTCGCGGAATCCGCGGACTTTTGTTCCATTCTGCCCGCGGACGAAGTGTATTTTCTCGAGTTAATGAAAAGAATATACTCTCTCTTATCCGATATTACTTGGAATGGATAAAATTGCGAGAAGGCCAGACGAGGTCTCCTTTCTTTCTGCTGCCCCCGCGTTCTCGGGGCAATAATATGAGAGAAAATGGCGCGTGAAAATTTCTTAGCTTATGTTTAATTAAATTTTATCACGTCGCGTGCGCAGAAGGGATCCTCGCTTCTTAGTTCTCGAGAATGAGATGTCGGGAGGTCAAGTTCGAGAAGAGAGCGGCGTCTGATCGCTTACGATTTTTCGGAGGAGAAATTCTCGCAAGCGCGGTCTACTCCGTTGCATAATATTTGAGAAAATTACCATCAGCGTACTTGCGTAAGTTCATCGGATTTTCAGCCATATTTCTTTTTATTGCACTGAAAGGAAAAATGCCATATTCAAGTAAATATTTACTACACAGAAAAGAATTTGTGTTAAAAAGAGTCCGCTGAAATGTTGTGCTACTTAACGTAGGAAATGCGTTGGAAAGTACAAAAATATATGTTAAAAAGTATCCAAATATAATTTTAAATTAATACATTCTCTGTATTGAAGTAACACAAAATTTCAATGGACTGTTTCCGCAAATATTTTTATTGTGTGTCAGGAATATTAAAGTTAATTATTTTACTTGAATTAAATAAATATTACTTGAATGTCACACACTAAAAGGAAAGTGTTCACATTCAAGTAATATTTACTTAATCTAAGTAAAATAATTAATTATTCCAATACTTGGCAAATATTTATTTGAATGTAGTACTTTTTTCTTTTAGTGTGATAATAACAAGACAGTTCGATTCAACTGTATATCGTCATTATTCGCCAAGATTTCAAATAATAATCCTGATTTCATAAAACGCCTCATCTTTTGAGCCAGTGAAATCCACGACGATCCGATTAACCTTCGCAAGTCCCTAATAACAAGATACAAATGATCTCAACGGTCGTGTTATCGCTGCTGCCTGCGTATAAAATCGCAGCATCAACGAAACGCAGCATCAACGACAAAAACGGGATTACCGTTGAAAAGACCGGCTTACGCGGAGTCACGCGTCGGAAAAGTTCCCGAACGACAAAATCGCGACGAAATCGCGGGTGATTTTCGCGGCGGATTTATCTTTCGGTCGTGGTGGTTCCCCCACATACACATGGACACGTGTACACGCACGATTCAAAGGAATTATGCTCATAAAGGTATACGTGGCGGAAGCTGAAGGGATCCCGGAGTACGGCACGACGACCACCCTCGGCAAGCGACTCGTCGCCGTCAAGTTTTTACTGCCGGAAGCCAGCGAGAAGGAAAAGTGAGTATACACACGTCTGTATGGGAGCCGCAATTTGCATTCTGTTTCGTTACGGCGACGCTCGATTGAGCGTGTGCATGCCTCTTCCACCTCCGGAGGCATTCCCCACGTGCGCGACGATAAACCTTTTACAGCCATGAGGAGACGCGCGCGCTCCGTTATCCAACCGCGCTCGCGATTTTATGCGGCGTCCGGCTCTTACGTCGACCGATCGCTACTCCGTGAACGCACGACGGAAACCGATAGTCGGCGAACGTCGAGGGATAAAACGCGATTCCGCAGGGTGCGCCGGAAGACAAATCGATCGATCTACCACTGGGGATGAAAAAGGACGAGGAGCTGTTCTTTTACCGAGATCAAATGCGAATAGAAATTTTCTTAATTTTCGCTCAAAGAACTTAATTTTCGTTCCCAACTTCAACCACACGCGTTTCTTGACCTTAGCTCTCTTACGTCCGCGCAATTGAAATTTCCCCCCACGAGCCCCTCTGTCGGTCCTGCTTTTCGGAAGAATTCGCGACTCGAAGAACCGAATAGTTTCGACCGTTCGACGATTCGGCTATTCCGTCCGTGGCCGTGGAGATCGTCGTGAAAAGAAGAAGGAACTGGTAGAGGAGAACGCGCGTCTCGCCGCGAGATCGAAAACGAGATTCGGGTTACGAACGGGACAGAATGTACGCGCGCAAAAATGCGACAGCCGAAGCGGGGGTGACAGGGGCGGTTAAATTATGCGCGGTCGGCAGGGGCCGCGCGGCAACGTTTCTGCCGGCAACGAGATACATCGGATTTGAAGCAAGAGAGAGAGAAATAAAAAGAGAGAAAGAAAGCGGGTTGGTGGTTCTGCCCGGCCGTGTTTCCCCGGCGGTGCGCGACGTCCCGCGTCGCGGCGTTCTCTCCGAGGAGAGGAAGCCCCGCGGCGGCGAAACGTCCGGATATACCGTTCTCGGACGATCGTTCGCGCGGCTATCGCGTCAGACATCAGAAAAAGGCCAGTTCGATTCCACGAATGGAACGGATTTGCATACAATGACCGGGAGAGATAAGGTATCGGGGATTCGGCCCTCTCTTTCTCTCTCTCTTTCTCCGTCTCTTGGCGCTCTCTGGACAGGCGGGACACCTCGTAGAGGAGATGACAAAGCTTCCTTCCGACGAGCGGCGACGAAAATCGACGAGCCGCCATTGAATACACGGCACCGAGACCTGCGCTCTCTCTCGTTGCTCCTCTGCGCGCCCGGGTCCGAAGAGAAATTTCGTCGACCGCCGCACGGTAATCTGTCGGACGTCTGGGAAGACGCGGGGCAGAATAGCGAGCGATTCGCTTGATTTAGCGCGCACCGGTGTACCCGTTAGCGCGACGAATTGCGACGCAGTCGTCGATAGCGCGCGACGAGAGTCCGCGGATTGATCGGGCATGATTGATTATCGACCTGTCTGATCCCTTGGAAGTATCGTCAATTCACCGCCGCCTTGATTTCCACCGATTATTCCAATATTCAGTTACGCAGTTTAGAACCACGAAAAATACGGCAAACGAATAACCGCAGTTTAATTTGTTCAAAAATTCTATTTTGTTTGATATGCGGAAAATTTCATTTACTTCGTCGTAAACAATTTAATTTGCCCGAAAATTTGCTGAAAAATTTAATTCGGTACACGAGGTAGGTTACACTTTATATGTAAATTAAAGAGATGCGATAATGTTACAACAATATTATATAGTAACAATAACACACACACACACAATGTTATTAATTATTAAATTATGTTTTAACGATTCAATTCGATTCGGGTGAAATTTCATCGATTCGGTTCGAAAATAAAAAATGAGATTCGACATAACAAATTCTTGATTAGCACATCTCTAATTTCCAGCTTCCCCAAGTTGCGCCTCCGTCTTAAAATCGCGTGTGTACTTTAAGCAGCACGAGGGTCGCGATAGGGGTGCCTCGATACCTTCTCGTCGGGAAAAGTTGGAGCCCCGAGCGCCCCGAGAATGCGTCCGCGGAGGGAAACAATCGCGCGACTCATTCCGCAATCTCCCGGCGCGCACGACGGCGGCGCACACGCAGCAGCCTCCCCGTATTTTATCCGGCGCGTACACGTCGAAAGATATCCGCGAGAGCCCGGCGCGTCTGGCTCACGCAACAAGTCCCCTATCGCGCGGATGACTTATAGCGTCTCGTGACTGCGGACGTCGTCGTTGTGAGACTCACCCTCGCCGCGAGCAGCTGCTGCTCCAAAGCGACCGCGAATCCTCCACCCATCCGCCGTACTTTTACGCACGCGAGATACGAAAACGCACACCCCCCGCTATTTATCTTTCGTCTCCATCGACACAAAAATATCTAGACCGAGCGTCTGTTCGTTCAAGCAAAAGGATGTACCAACTTGTGGTAAAGGGAAGGTTACGATACTTCGGGTCACTCGGCTCGCACACGGGGGAGAATAATTTACGGAATGAAATTTTATGCCGTCGTAGCTGATAAATAATACAGGGGGTATTTCTTAAACGCTGCGCAATATTTCAGGAGTCGACTTTTGTGGTTAATGAAGAAACGAACATATTTGCGTAAATTCTATTTCAGTTGATTAGCACAAACGTCGCGCTGGAACCGCTCGAGGTATAACTTCCTATTTTTCCTTCTAATTTTTTTCTCGCGCCCAGGATTCGCGTCCGCTTCGATTCCGCTGCGTCCGTCGCACACACGCGATCCGCGGAAATGTCCTCTTGGGACGATTATAAACGAGGGAAGCGAGCATCGCGTCGCAGGAGGGCCGTGTTGACGGCAGATAAGGTATGTTTTATGCGTCACCGCTCGGTATCACGCGTCGCAGCGCTGACGCTTTATTAAAAATAACGCGCCGGTTTGCGCTCGCCCGAAGCGCGCGGACGGCCGACAGATGGATCGCCTCGTGTTACCGAAACCGTGGTCGGTGACGAAATTCCGCCGTCTCGCGAGGCTCACCGGAGGCTGCCGCCCCAACGAACCGCGCGATCGTCCCGATAAATCCAGGTCGAAATGCGGGATCCGAGGTCTCGCGTGCGCGTTCGCGGCCCCGTAAACGCCGTCATCGCGAAATCGGAAACGGTCGGCCGCGTAACTGCTGCCGACGCCGCTCGATCGAACGAAAGAGACAGAGAGGGAGGGAGAGAAAACAAAGGGGGGGGGAGTAGGGGGAGCAAATTGAACCGCGAATTACGAACTTTCGGCTAATGCGATGTCATTAAGCCGCCTTAGGGCCAACGTTGAACAAGCTATTTTGCATGTGGCGTCCAACGGCAACGCGACACTCCTCCCTCTCTCTCTCTCTCGCTCTCGCCCACGCCGGAACCGAGAAGCGGCGCGCACGGTGCGACAATCGCACGCACCGCGCGCGGGATCCGCAGTTTATGGCGAATCGATAGGCGACGGACCGCCCCGCAGTTTTGTTAACGGCCGCATTAAGCTATCACGCGCGGAGTGCCATTACCAAGTCGATCGTAAGTAAGCTCAGGGAAAGCAACGGGCTCGATGGGCCGGGCGGCTCGTGGAAACACAAGTTCCATGAGCGGCGAGTGTGTGTATACCGCCAATAACCGCCGGCGAGTAGCGAGCTCGCGCTTCCCTTATCCGGAAGTACGGTCGCGATCCAACGAACCGGACGCCGCGCCGTGCCCCGTCGCCGTTAACAACGTCCGTACGATCCTCGACGCCGGAATGCAGAAAGTGCAGCGCGATACGAGAGTCATTAACGCGAGATGGACGTCGATGACTCTCCCGGCCGACCGCTCCGCGGCGATATCGAATTTTACTCCTCGTCGACCTGATATTTCACACGCGTCTCTCTCACGCTTATACGTATATTTTCCTTTCTTTTTTTCATAGTTGACTGCCACTGTCTTTACCACGGTGAATATCGTGGCGAACGCCGGCAATGGTGGTGTCATTTGCGTCTTATTAAAGTTACGTGTGAGGTATCGATTGCTTTTGAGAAGTCTCTTGGTTGTAGAGATCTCTCGGCCAATAGAGAGCCGATGAGGTGAAAGATACATCGTATCTTCTTGCGTCTCGAATGTCACTTACTTATCGGGGTTTTTGGTAATCCAATTATTAGTTGAGCTTTTGCGTTTTTGAGCTTTCGCGCAATCAAGGGAAATCAATGTGACAGTCACCGTGTTAAAATTGCGCGTGCGTTCGTTGCGAAACGCAACGCGTCGTCATCGTCGTTATAACGTGGCGACGATTCGGTCAATCGGCGCGAAATGTTCGCACGATCGTAACACATTAGCTTCGATAACTCGACTCTGCTTACCAAGTAGAGACACGGTTGATCCCGAACAGGTTGGACTTCCAAAGGGACGTGAGGATCTTGGCCGCTCTGGAAGATCGCAACATCGCACGGGTCCTGGGTGCTTGTTACCGCGAGGAGCCGTACTGCGTGGTGATGGAATACCTGGAACACGGGGATCTCTGTCAGTTCCTCAAAACGCATATCACTGCCGAGGACGCGCATTCCATGCCGATTGGCGTCAAGACACTTAGGTGAGTTCAACCGGTGACACGCGGCTTGACGTAAATCCTTAATGGAAATTAACGCGGGCGAGCTCTCTCCTTACGGTTAATCTCTCGCCTTCCTTCCCTCCCTCCCTCGAAACAACAATTTCGGCGTTCATGAGTATCCGTTAATAAATATTTGCGATCTCTACCGCGAGGAAAAAATCGAGAGAGAGAGAGAGAGAGAGAAAGAGAATTTAGTAATTATTAAATTTCCAATGTTTTTGTCCCTTTGATGGAATATACAATCGATATTGCCTTCAATTATTTTTCTGCTGACTTGTTATTTCATTGATAGAGCGACCCGGGCGCTGTTTATTAAAACATTCGCATGTCGTTTTTTTCCCAAAAAAAAAAAAAATGGCACGCGCACAGGATGTTCCGTGTAACTACCGCGCGCCACGGAAATTGAACGTTTCCAAATAAAAGCATACAGTATCTTCAAAAAAATATCAAATTGGAGTACCCTTCGCAAATAAAACCGGCGAAAAGTCATCGCGCCACGCATAGCAGCGTGGCACGACTGTGTATAAGCTCAAAATCAATATTACATGTGGGAAACGCACTTGGCTAACGCGATATTATTCGTCCTCGGCCAGCTGCGATATTATTTACGACGACGGCCATTAGTCCTCTTTCCTATATGTGTGTACGCTCTCTCTCTCTCTCTCTCTCGCTCTCTTTCGCGAACGCCGAAGCCCTCGAGGAATCCGCGATCCCGTGTTTACGGTAATTACCGTAGAGCGGTGATGGGTATTATAAATTCCAGCTCGCGCACATCCCTGGATTTCCTCGTGGCAGCGGTAAAAAGACCGCCGTCGAATATGTACGCTCGCGAATAAGTACCGTGCGCTGCAGATAAGTCCACCACCGGTGCTTTCCTGAAGTGTTTCAAGTGGCGGCGTGGCCGGCTTTTTAATTTCGCGCGTTAAGACCGCCGATATTTCAGCCGAGTCTCGTAGAAGACGAAGAAACTTTCGCGCCGATTGAATCACTTCCGCGATCTTAATATTCAAAAACTTACGTTATTTGATATACATACGAAAATAAAAGAGCGTTCACACGATCGATCGCAAAGAACGTTGTGTTTTGTTAGGTAGAGATCGTCGGTGTATCATATTTTTAATAAGGTTAGTGTTTTTTTCTGAAAGTTTTTCATTCGAATTTCGAAGATTCGAAGCTTTGATGTACATTATTCGAATTTCGAAAGTATCAAAGCTCCGAAGCTTTGAAACGTCGGAAATGTAAGAAACATCGTTTGAACCCGCTATCGAATCTCAATAATTGGCCTGTCAGTCTTGTTAGGAAAGCTTGGAAACAACAGTCAAACTGTAATATTATTATTTTGTGTTCCCTAAATTTTGCATTTTCCACAGCTATTTAAATCGAACGTAAACACAATGTAAAAAACATTTCTCGTTACAAAACAGCAACTGTCTATCCATTTATTTACAAAGTTCATTTACAAAATTTCTCAATATTCCCCGAGTAAAATGTAGACATTAATCTACAGCATTCGCGAGTACTTTTCGGAGCTCTGAAACTTCGAAGATTACGGCCTTTGAAAACGAACCTTCCAAGCTTCGCCTCACCAAAATTCGAAAGTTCCCAATTTCCTCCGGAGTTCCGAATCCTTTCAAAGCTTCAAAGCTTCAAAATTGTCGAAGATTAACAGCCCTAATTTTTGACAGCCCTAGTTTTCTTTTATTAGTAATAAAGAAAATATTTTATTTTTTATTTTACTTTTTCTAAAAGATATTTTTTGTTACAACTGACCACCACTAAACTTAATAATTCACAAAAAACCCAAAAGATACAAAAAACCACGATTTTTGCCATTTTTGTTCGCATGTAGGCCCGAGAGACCTATGACGTTACTTCAACGTCAAGATCGCAGATATTATTGTCAGGATTAAGAATGTAAAATCGGAATGATGAGCGATCTCATTCGGGAGCACGAAGCGTCGCTTCGAAGTCAGAATAACAGCACTATCACTCTGTAAAATCCTATTGCGACTTTTACGAGAGAAATATAAAGGGGGAGAGAGAGAGAGAGAGAGAGAGAGAGAGAGAGAGAAGACCTGTAACCGCGGTATCGGTCTTACGAGCCCGAGAGAAGAGAACTTAACTATTCATTGAGCCGACATTATCCGACAGCCTCGTCTCGCGGAGTGTTGGTGTGCCGGCGATACAGGTGCGTCTGCCGTCGGTCTGTCTGTCTGTACGTAGGTACGCCGGAGTAGGTATTGCGACGCGCCGCGGTGTTGCCGGGGCTTAAAGTATTCGAGATTACAGGCCGCCGTAGCGCCGCAATCGTCTCTAACGAGCACGGGCTCGGTTTCATTTCCGACGAAGCGCCGTCGCGCACGAGTCAGGGAGTTAACACGCAATAAGTTTCTCCGAGGCGCGAGTTTGACGCGTTTATTAATCGTGAGCGACGCGGCTGAAGCTCGGAGACAGCCCGCTGCTGCTCGGATTCTCTCTCTCTCTCTCTCTCTCTCTCTTTCCGTCTATCTCTTCTCTCTCATCTCTCTCGGAGCCCTCTCGACCCGCACCCGGCGGGCGATGGAATCCCCCGCTGACTCCCGACTCTTGACGACGACGACGACGGTCGGGTCGTCGGGTCGGGTGGGATTCTCGCAACTGCGAATACCTTAACTTTCGTCAGGCAAGCTAACTCACGCCACTTCCGTCGTCGTTTCAGTTTCAACTGTCTCATCTACATGGCGGCGCAGATCGCGTCGGGCATGCGGTATCTGGAGAACCTGAACTTCGTTCATCGGGATCTGGCTACTAGGTGAGTAACATCGGGACTTCGCCCCCGAAACAAATCCGCCGGATTCGCCGCTCTCATCTCCCGAGGATAAACTTACATCCAGCGGCTGCCGGGGTGCGCGTACCCTTTAGCTGGTGGTAGCAGCGGCGGCAGCTCGCTCACTCCATTCGGTGGTGAGATCGGCGTTCGCTCGGTAGCTAAACCTTTGACGTTGAGAGTTTGCTTAGCGACCTGCCGCTCGTTGAATGAATCGAACTTGCGAAGCCGCACGGCCGTGAACGGCTGAATGCGTCGTGTGGAAATTAAAATGAGACTTTTCTACGTGCAATTCTTCCCTTTGCCGTGTGTGTGTGTGATTTTAGCAGGACGAAAAATCCGGAATTATTTTTTTCTACGATTCTTAATGAAGCAAATATTACTAAATAACTTCAATCAATCACACAATATTTGCTTGTGAACAACGCGATAATATGGCCTGCAAACAAATGTATGTTAAAATTATCTTATTTTCAATAAAATTCCCTGAGAATTCCCTTGATTTTTCTAGATACAAACAAATTCCCTGAAAATTCCAAATTTTCCAGGTTTTTCTAGGCGGCGCAGTCTATTTTCTCTATTTTTTTTTTTCATTCTAAACCTATGTGTGTCTTAACTACAGGAGATGTGAAATATCTTTCACCGAAGTTTACACACACACACACACACACGAGCAACGGCGTAAAAATTTAATTATCTCCCTCCGCGTCTACCTTCCGTTTTAACTTGTACACAATTCTCAGATCAGACGAGAATTGAGCAATGCATCAGCAAATACACGGGGCTTTGTTGTCTAGTTTCTCACGCGAGCGCGCACCGATGCGTGCCGACGGGACGTAAGATCAGCAGACGTTATACAAGGAGAGAATCTTCCCGGTCGACGCGCGGAACGTCGGCGCGAAGAGAATTACAACACCCCCGCTGCGCCGGAGCGCAACAATACCGCGGAGCGAGTTATAATCCCCGGCGCGGCTTGGGGATGATACCCTGTCGCGAAACAGCTTGAAAAACGCAATTTCTCGTGGCGCGATTTATCGAAAAGTAATTTCGAAAGTCGGTCGCGAGTACGGGCGCGCGCGCACAGCGGAGACGCGAGCAGAGCGCTGCAACACGCTAGTGTCGCTACGTGGTTTTTTACGTTATTGCGGAAAGGATAAATGGATCCGCCGCGTACTCCCTTGATTTATTTGCCGACGTAAACTCACTCATCCGCCACGCGGACGCGTTTCTCCCCGTCACCCCCATTCTTCCTCATCCTCTCTCCCTCTTCCTCCCTCTCTCTCTCTCTCTCTCTCTCTTTCGCTTCATCAGCTAACCCGGCGAGAAGCTGCGACCTAAGACCAATTCTTGATCAGCCAATTAGGAAATATCGATCTTAAAAATTCGAGGCGCAATAAAAAAAATCGGGACTTCTAATAAAAAAATTAATAAATTAGATAAACGTAGATAGTGAGTAAAATTTTTACTCATTATGTTAAGTCCAAACAATCAACTGAACGTACTTTTCTATTGCGTTTTAATATAAATAATCATTATTTTATATCTAAAAGCAGTCTGATAGAATTTTTAAGATAAAATGAAAGAACAATCAACGGAACATAAAGTATGTAATTATGTGTTTAGGAAATTAAATAAAATTTTAGTAAAAGAAACTAAGATTTGTTTTATTAAATAGAAAACTAGTCCAGGGAGGGTTAGCGTCGGTCCGATACTGTTCGTACGCAACAAGGACTTTTCATCTGACGCCTATTGACGGCGTTCGCAGTTTAAAGGAGTTGATAGATTTGTTTTTAGTACAATTTGTTATTATATTTCTAAGTGAAAAATTCGTACAAATGACGACCCGCTTAGAATCCTGTCGGAACGCCTCTGATGAGAGCTGAAAATCAGAATGTCCCGTGAAAATCGGAACGGTTAGTCACTCCAGCGCGATAAAGTCCTATCGACTTTAAATCGCCGCGAATTCGAGATTATCTTCCGACGGATGCCGCCCTTCGATCTCGCTGTTCGAATCGCGCGGTCCGCTTTAATTGGCACAGTCTAATAACTGACAGAGATGTTCTCTCTCGCGGCGTGCGGTCGCACTCGTGTACGTTCGAAGTGGGTGGATTTTACCGCGGCTAGAGAGCAAGAGAGAAAGAGGGAGAGGCACGCCCGTTAAAACGGGACGGGGGCACCGATATCGATTCCCCCCGCTGTCCCTCCCCCTCGCCGGTGTTACACTCTCAGGACGAAATTGAATTATACCACCCCCGCGGTGCATTTCCATAAGCCCCAAAACAAACGGAGCCCGGGAACCGCATGGGAAATCAACGATTTGTTAGTGAATCGTCGCGAGAGGAATGCAGCGAGAGGAGTAAGCGGCAGCTAGTTGCCGCGCTGAATGATGCGCCGCTGCGGCTTTAGTGTATCGGCGGTTGGAAAATTTCAGCGTGTTTCTTTTTCTCCCTTCCCTCCCCTCTCTCTGTCTTTTATCCGCTCGTATCCAATCGTCGTAACTATCTGGATCAGCTTCTGCCATTGTGCCCCGCCGCGCACGGCGACCGCTCGCGAAGTGATTTCTCCGGGTTTTTCGCAACCCCGAAGCGGGCGGGCGACCCCGAGAGCGTACAATGGACGACTTCCTCAATCCGACGTAATGGCCTAATATTCGTCACATTGGCGATTGATTCCCCTTTTCGGGACGCTCCCATTTCGCGCGCGTTATCGACATTGAGAGCAATTCGAGATTACTCACGACCCGCCGAATATTTTAATATCGAATCTCATCGACGGGGATATTTATCCCTCGTCCTTTTCCTCTGGAATTTGTCATCGACGCGGACAGTTAAGAATAACGTCGTATAAGGTGAATATTTCAGTTCGCTTCTTCAGGGTGAGAGTCGAGACCCGAAACTGAAATCGAAACTAAAACAGAAACTCGAGGAACGCGGCGCCAACTCGGAAGCCACATTGAAAATTGATTAATTCATTTTCACGATAAGGTTACTTTATCACTAATAGAGAGACCTTCGCCTTAAGTCAAAGCGCACCCGCTCTCACGTGACTTAACGAAGAGCGGAAGAGTTAATTAACACTTCGAGGTATTAGAGATCGCTAATGTTTCTTCGTTAGTCGCGTGTCCGCGACAGTGGAGTGTACGAAGTATCCTCCACCGAGCCGAGTGACGCTTGAGGATTCTATATACGCGTAACACCGCGCGCTAGTACATCTATAAACCTCCATAATGATCCTCACAAGCCACATAACGTATACAGTAGCCGCTACAGATGACCGCCGGGCCACGAATACAAAGTACACCCTGTATATGGAACGAAGTCCATCTATGCGCCTGTTATTGAAATGCAATGGCCATCTCGCCGAATCGATAGGACGTTTAGATGCACATATGTGCATATATGTATATCTCCCATACAAATATATATACACACACACGTTCATATGCAAGCCCGCGCACATTCGCGTAAACCACCGAGCTCTCATAGCACGTGGGACCTAGTTTCCGGCTGGACAGTGTCTCTCAAACAGTCGCTCGTAAATCTCCGCGATACAACTCGAGAGAGAGAGAGAGAGAGAGAGAGAAAGGGAGTGACAAGGAGGGAAAGAGGGAGGCACTTCTTCTGCGCGGAGCTTCCACGATATCAGATGCCGTCAGCATTTCTAAGGGCTTTTGACACGGTTTGACCCGTCGATTGCAGGAATGCCTCCAGAAGTATCGCCGGAACTACTTCTGCGTCACTCTTGTCTGTCTCTCCCTCTATCTCTCTTTCTCTCTCCTTCTTGTTGCTCCCCTCCGCTCCCAGCGATCGATTGCCGCGTACAATTAGATCAATAAAACGCTGACTCGGATAAAAGGCCAGGTTGTTCGATACGGTCGGGAGGATGACACAGTGTGATTGAAATTCGCGTTTGTGTCACGGAACTCTTATTCTTGAAAGTGCAATCAGTGTATTATCGATGATAAGCAGTCACTAGTGATTATAATTATAAATATAGCGCTACAAATCAGTAAAATTTCGTTGCAAATGTCTGTTAATAGCAGCAACTGTTTTCATCGGATATCTAACTGCTGAAATAGTGAAAAGATTATTACTTCTTTTCTATTATCTTAATCCCACTCTTAAGGTATTGTCGATAATCAATTTTGCCTGGACGATGTCGAGCGCATGCGTTTTGATCAATTGCTACTCGTGCGTCTATATCACAACGATTGAGAGCTACTGCGCTCATTCTGGCATCGAAACAAGATATCTAATTTGCGCCGCTCACATTTTCACGGCGAAAACGTTGTCGCGCTGCAAATTTAGAAATACTTTCGAGGTCGTCTGAGAGAATGGACGGAATGGAGAGAGAGAGAGAGAGAAGAAAAAGAAAAAAAGAGCGAGAGAATATCCGCGTTTGCGATCGCAGCGCGGCCATGATCCTTGATTAAATTTCTCTACGCAGCGAGCTTTATAAAATTTTTAGTGACACGCGTGTCAAAATCCCGACGCGTTATCCTTCTCTGCGCTTTGCGAGAAAAAAGCGCGATACGATCCGATCGCGTTGCAAATAGGTCGATGCCTTTTGTACAGGCGGCCCGGGTCGGAGTTCCGGGATTTAATCAAAATTTAATCAGAATTTAATGGCACCGCTGAACTTCCACTTTGATGGCACACGTCAGCGTGACGAACCGACGATTTTCAGTGAAATACGCGACCGTACGGGAATTCCACCGTGGGGCATAAATTCTTCGTGACTGGCGGCGTCAAAAGAGAAATGGACATTGCGGATATCAATGGCGCGTACGCGATACTTTCGAAATGCATTTCGCCCTTCCTCTATCGCGGCGCGACCTCCGCGAGCGCGCGCGCGCGATTTATCCGTCGCGATAAACGAGAAAAAAAGCGGCAGAGAGACAGAGAGACAAAGAGATACAGGAGAAGAGAGAGAGAGAGAGAGAACGAAGCGTTTTTATTTATTTAAATTGAGCTCACCGGAGGATT